AGTACCTACAATGTGCCAGGCATTGTGTTAAGTACAAATATTATTTGATCCTCATAGAAATCTTGCAAGTTAAATGCAGTTATTTTCTTCATTTTATGGTTGAGGAGACTGAGCCAAACAGATTAAGTCATCTACACAGTGTCACACAGTTAGTGTCCAAGGCCATCCTGACTCCAAGTCCAGAAAGGCATGCAAACTACTTATGTACAAGCAAGAAATATATAGGATAAATGGATAAATTGAATATTACCTTAGAGGGCAAGCATTAGAATTAAGAGAGTTTGGAAAAGGCTTTATGCAGAGGGTAGGATTTTCACTGAGACCAGAAGGAAGGCAGTGAATCCAGGAGATGGAGATGAGAGAGAGCATTCCAGGGACAGTAAAAAGGTATGGAGTCAGGTGATGGTATGTTTTATCTTAGGGACAGCAAAGGAGGCCACTGTTAACAAAGAGTTTGTGGTACGGAGTAAGGGGTAAGAAGACTGAAAGTATAGGAAAGGGCCAGGTTGTGAAGGAAAAAAAAGAAGGAAATTATTAGATACTATTTTACCCAACTACATGTCAATAAAACTGACAACATAAATGAATATTTACAGAAATGTAAACTATCCAGATTAACAGAAGAAATAGTTTTTAAGTAACCCAACATTAGAAAAAGAAATTGAAGAAGTTATAAATGAATTTCTGAACAAAAATAAAACTGCAGAAGAGATGGATTTATAAGAAATTTCTATCAAACATTCAAAGAACAATTCCATTATTATATAAACTATTTATAAAAATAGGAAAAGATGGAATGCTACCAAATTCCTTCTGTGATAAAAATGTACCTTGATACCTAAACCACAGAGAGTCAAAACAGAGAAATATAACTAATTAACCAGTATCCCTAATCAATATTGACACAAAGAAAATTAATTGAAATAATAGCAAAGTAGTTATAGCAACTTCTAAAAAGACACATAGTTTGATTAGATTGGATTTACACCAGGATTGCAGCATTGATTAAGTATTAGGAAAACTATAAACACAATATATCATATTAGTAAAATAATAAATAGAATAATAGAAATCATGTGATCATATAAACAAATGTAGAAAAAGCTTTTTTAAAAATCTGACATTTATTTGTTTAAAAAGAAATGCCAGAAAGCATAGGAATAAATAAACAAGTACAGCATTTATTAAAGTCTTAACTATATTTAATCACTATTTTAAGCACTAGGGATGCAGATAGAAAAGTAAGACAGGAGCTATTATTCTCCAGGAGTTCACAATTTAATGAGTGAGTCAACACATAAAGAAGTTTTATCTTTTGTTTCATCAGTATCAGAAACTGGGATGATTTTATCATGAGAAATGACATTAAAGAAAAGGAAATGACTGAAAGAAAACATTGCTGTCTTTTTTGCCCCACATCCTAAGGATCAAGAGAATCAGGTGTTTTTTTTAAAAAAAAAACATCGAGGAGGGTAGCTTAGCAGTACCAGATCTCAAACTGTAGTTTTTTATCAAATCTCATACTGACTAAGAAATAGAATGTTATATTAGCTACACAAAACACAGTAGTAAATGACCATAGTAATCTAGTGTTTGACAAACCCAAAGATCCAAGATTTGGAGATAAGAAGTCACTATTTGATGAAAGTTGCAGGGAAAACTGGAAAACAATTTGGCAGAAACTAGGCATAGACCGAGATAAAGTCAAAATGGGACTTTAGTCGCTGCTATCTCAATATCACCTTTGTGCCCAAAGGACTTGCACTATGCTTTTTGGGGGGGGGCCATAATTGCAACATAAAACTAGAGTTTTAAAGGCAAACAATGAAACTGCAAACAATAGATGCACAAGGAGCTCTTTTATGAGGGTAGTGGGAATAAGACCAGTGAAATGCCTGGTAGAATACCAGCTACTCCACAAACTTGCATGAATCGCACCTCTCACTTTTTCTCTACTGGGCATAGCTGTGAATGTATGCGGTTGCCAATATGAAAGTAAAAATGAGGTTACTAGTAAAATCATGCTAATTCCTGAAGTCACAAAAGTTCATGAATGATGACGATTGGCTATTTGTACAAGCAAACTGTATACAGGATAAATAGGAAATAAAGAGAGAATGCATTAGAATTAAGAAGGGTTAGGAAAGGCTTTCTGTAGAAGATGGGATATTACTTGGAACTTGGGGGGACGCCAGGTAGGCCAGCAGGCAGAGATGAGAAGGGAGAACATTCAAAGGGAACAACCAGGGAAAATGCCCAGAGGCAACTGATAAGAGTGTCTTGTTCTAGGGACAACCAGGAAGCCAGCGTTACTGAACACCAAACAGGGGATGCTATATTTGATCCTAGAGGTGATGGGGAGCACTGGAGTTTATTGAGGAAGGTGATGACATAGTCAGATCTATGCTTAAGGAAAATCACTTTGGTGGCTAAATGGAAAACAGGAGAGGCTTGAGGCAGGTAGATGCACCAGTAGGCTACTGGAATAGTCTAGCTATTAGGTGATTGAGGGCCTGTGCTGAAGTGGTGGCAGTGTCAGAGGAGAGAAGGAAGTATACTGGAGTGATGTTGTAGAGGTGAAATTGACAGGTCTTGACAACAGATTGGATGTGGGTGTTGGGAGGGGATGATAGATAATGAGAAGTTGAGGATGACTTCTAGGTGGTAGGTGGTGAGCTTGAGGGACTGAGAGCATGGTGTTGCCATCATGAATAGATGTGGAAGTACTTTTTAAAAATATGGTAAAGAATATCTTAAAATCAAAAGCTAGCATTGTATACACTAGGGAAACATTAAAAGCTTTCCCAAATAAATGGATGAAGAAAAAGATGCAACTTTTCCTTGCATTTGATATGGTTTAGAAATGCTACCATTAGCAGTAAGACAAGAGAAAGAAATTGAAGATAAGCATAGGCAAAGAAGAAACAAAACTATCCATAGTTGCTGATGGTGTGATAATTTACTTAGGAAATCTTAGCCAATTAGCAAATAAATTAATTGAGACAATAGCTTTAATAGTTGCTGATGGTATGATAATTTTCTTAGGAAATTGTAGCCAATTCACAAATTAATTGAGATAATAGCTTTATTAAAGTAGCTAATTAAACCACTCCTTCTCCCCCCAAAAAACCTCAGTGGCATTTCTACTTTATAAATAAATACAAAGCCCAGAAAGGAGTGGTGGTAATAGAAAGAGAAGCCTCACTCAGAATAACAACAAAGTGTATTAAATGTCTAAGAATAATGCTACCAATGCACCGGTAGCTCAAGAAAGAGATAAAGAACTGACATACAAATGAAGGAGTAATCAGTTCTTGTAGTGAGACCAACACAAATAATAGAAATGAAAATACTACTTAAATTAATTTGTAGATTTAGTGCCATCCTAATAAAACTACCAAGAAGATTCTTTAGAAAGTTCAATAAAATTTAACAAAAGATCTAGAATATAAAAAAAGAGGATTGGAAAGCCTCAAATTATGTTTTAAAGTAGTATTTGGAATCATTGGTTAAAAATTAGAAAACTACAAAAGTTGAACAGTGTAGATAAGGAAGAATTAAAAGCAAGTGAACTGGACAGTCTATTGTTCAATAAATTTGAAAGCAAAAATTACTTGGAGAAGAGCTCCCTATTGGATAAGAATTACAGGATAGAGTGCTGGGGCTGGAGTCAGGAAGACTCATATTCCTGAGTTCAGATCTGGGCTCAGACACTTTTTTAGCTTTGTGACCCTGGATAAATCACTCAACCCTGTTTGCCTCAGTTTCCTGTCTGTAAAATAAACTGGAGAAGGAAATGGCAATCCAGTATTTTTGCCAAGAAAATACCAAATGGGGTCATGAAGAGTCTGACAGGACCTGAAACAACTGAATGACAGCATGTTACATGAGAAGAACCTAGAAAGCAATCTCCAGAAATTAGATTTAGACTAATAGCTAATACCAAATTACACAGTAAGCTCCAAATGAGTATGTGAACTGAATATAAATAATTAAATGGGTGAGAACAAGATCAGATACCTTTCATAAGTCTGGCAAGGGGAAGAATTTTTAACCAGTGATAGTGGAGATCACAAAATATAGAATGAATGATTTCAGTTGCATCAAGTAAACAGGCTTTTGCATTAACAAATTAATAACAACTCTGTGAACTCCAGTGGCTTCCTATTGCCTTAGAATAAAATGTAAATTCCTCTGTTTGGTGTTAAAACCCTACATTCCTACCCCAACCCCCCTTCCTAGCCTCACTGGAGGCTTCCCCTTCTACACTTTATGATCCAGGCAAATTGGCGTTATCTCTGTTCTTCATTCATAATACTACATATACCCTCTCCGTGCCTTTTTTCTCACACTGCTTGGAAGAACAAGAGTTCCACATGTCTGTTAGATTGGAGAAGGAAAAGAAAAAATCATTAAGCTTTTTTGATGTGTCAGTGTGCTCAGTACTATGGATACAAATACAAAGAATGAAATAATTCCTACTCTAAAAAAGCTTATGTTCCATCTGAGGAAACAGCATCCACATATATTTAACACACATAAGTATCCACAGGGTAAATACCAAATAAATAAGATCATACATGTAGAACTGGAAGGGACCTTAGATGCCTTGTACTGCAAGGTATTGAATGTGAGGAAACCTAGGCTTGGAGAGATTAGGTTATGTGCTCAAAGTCATAGAGCTAGTAGTGTTAGGGGTGAGATTTGAACCCAGGTGTTTCAGGATTCAAATCTAGAACTCTGCTGTATCATACTGTTTCTCTAATACAGCCTAATCTTAGCATGATCACCCTTCTAGAAGTTGGGGGTAACCAGGACAGGCTTCATGTACAGGTGGCTGATGATTCCATGAAATAGAATTTAACTCCATGGAATAGGAGCTGAATAGATGTGTTAACCCATGTGTATCCCATGTGTATATACAATTGTCCTACCAGATGATGAACAGGAAAATTTTGTGTGATTTATAACAGTAAAGATATATTAATTTAACTTTTTAGAAAGGTCAAAGGAGGAAATATTGATGTGCATCCCTCAGAAAAAGCACTTATTGTTCAATATGAAGTGGAAGCTACCATTCTTGGAGAAATGGGGGATCCCATGCTGGGAGAACGGAAGGAATGTCAAAAAATGTGAGTTTCATTCAGGTTTGTATACATGTTCTTAGTATTAAATCATTTTATAAATACTCATAACTTATTACTTTTCAAATTTGAACAGAATTTTGTTAGTGACAATATATGTACTGGACTTGATATTAATTGCCATCATTAATTAAGATAACTTTCTTTTCATGCTTTTTCATCTTGTTAAATAATAGACAGTACCAGACAAACTCCAGAAAACAGTTACTGTAGGCGTTTTTCAGCAAGGCCTAATGACTAAAGCAAGGTGTCTAGCTCATCTAAAAGTCTGTTCTGAGTTGGAAGTCCACAAACATTTATTAAGCCCTTATTATGTGCCAGGCATTGTGCTAACTACTTGGAATACCACATATAAGGAAAAAGAAAGACAGTCCATGCTCTCAAGTTTAAATTCTGATGGATTTTAAGCACATAAAAAAGAGCTGAAAAGCTGTAGGTGGGGGAGAAGGTCAGCCTGGAGAAGAGTAAAGAAGGGAGGATGAATTTGGCCTGGGCACTTCTTCGAAATAGAGGACATGGATGTGGGGGGAGGCCAAAGAAGGGGTGGCAGTCTTCCAAAGTGAGACGCCTGGAAGGTATCCCCAAGGTCATCTGGTCCAGTCTCCTCATTTTGCAGATGAGGAGACTGAGACCTAGAGTTAAAGAACTTTCTCAAGTTTACATAGGTAGAAAGTGACAGAGTCAAGATTTGAACACAGTTTCTCTGATTCCAGAGCCAGTATTCATTCCCCACTGGACACTGCAAGTAATTATATTAGACACTGGGGATATAGAGACAAAACAAGCAAACCCAGCCCCTGCCCTCAAGGAACTTGTGTTCTACTGTTGGGGTAGGGAGATAGCACATGTGAAAAAATAAGCCTAACAAGTGTGTAGATATCATGCATATTTTATGAGTCTGTATCCATATCAATATATATTCATACATATGTGATCATTTGAGGAAGAGAATGTATGAACAGCTAAAGGATCAGGGAAGACTTCATATAGGAGGTAGCCTATGAGCTAAGCTTGTGAAACATAGAAGTCCTAACAGGTCGGGGTGAGATAGGAAGGCATTGCAGGCACCAGATACCAGTGCAAAGTCAGGAGATAGGTCAAGTTCAGGTGACAGCTAGCAGGCTAATGTGGCTGGTATGTAGAGTCCATGAAAGTGAGTATTGTGTACTAAACTTGTAAAGGTAATCTGCAGTGAGACTGTGAATGGAAATTATCTGTGCTTTCAGTGATTCCAGCCTTTTCTCTGAAACAAAATCCCATCTTTTTAACATCATATTTTTTTCTGGTATTCTGTATGGCTACATCATGGAATATCACAATATCTGGGAATGAGAATTTCAGGTTACTCAAACCACAGTAGAAAAAAGCATGGTGATTTTAACAGGTTCCAGCATATTAACATTTATGAATTGCTTACACCAGATGATATAAAAACTGTCATAAAAATTAAGTAGAGTATAATCTCCTTGGTTATAGAAACAGTTTTATTTTTGTCTTTGTATCCCTAGTGCTTAACTCAGTGCATGGCACATAGTAGGCACTTAATATTAATACGTTCTCATTGCATCGGATTGAAATAAAGAAATATCTGAGATGAAAAGGAGGTAGTCTGGTTTGCATACATCAAGACTAACGCCTTGGGTGCTGTATTGGTACTCAGGTAATGACAGGAAACCTAGCATAAGGCCCCAAGCACTTTGGGAGAATCCTCTGTAGAGCATTTATGGGAAAACATGCATGAGAGCTGCATGTGATGAAAAAATATGAGATCTGCACTATTGGAGAGAACACCCGCATCAATGAAATTGCTGATCTATTGAAATATGTTTTAGCTCTTAAGTACTTTTTCAAATGTGGACTTCTGAGTTATTTTTTATTCTCCTAAAGGCTCTTCTGCTTATTTTCAGCTACTTTCTACCCAGAAAAAGTAGCCTAGCTTTAAAGAAACAAGATTATTCACTAAGACTGTTACTGACTATTGGTGTTCTTTTTCATTCCAGGTTGTCTAAGTTGTATTTGATATTTCATTGCAATTTCTTCCAATGGATAGCTTCAACTTGTGTATTCATTGGAAGCATGTGAAAAAAAATATATATAAACAAACTTATAAACATGTATATACATGCAAATAACTATATGTTTATGTAAATGTGTTTCTATATATTAACATATTGCTTGCTGTCATGATATATGAATTGAAAAATTCTTTCTTACAGAATTCGTCTGAAAAGTCTCAATGCTAACACAGATATCACTTCCTTAGCTCGAAAAGTGGTTGAAGAATGTAAACTCATTCATCCCTCAAAACTAAGTGAGGTGGAACAGCTGTTATACTACTTACAGAACCGGCGTGATGCCTTGTCAGGGAAAGGTAAGCAGAATAGTCACTGACCAGTGTTCAAGGCCAGAGGAGCAGGACTGCAAAGGCTTCTCTATTGATCTTTCATAATTTGTTTTTTCCTAGATTTTACTATTTTTTTGTATATACAGAAACATAATGAGGAAATTGCATGTCATTTTGATTCAGGAATAATTAAAGAAGAGAATTTTAGGACAACATTTAGACAAATTTAGGACAAAATTCACTTTCTGTACTCTTAAGTAGATGTGCCATATTTAATATTGGTCATCACTATTTTAAAATTTACAGATGATTTACAATTTTAAAAAATTATTTTATAATACTTATATCCATTATTTCAGAGATTGTCAAAGAAATTATTTTTTTAAATGTTCAGAAAAGTACAAACTGTTGTCTTGTCCTTTGTCTCTACTGTTCCATCACCCTTAACCTCCTCCCCAAACAAAAAACAGTGAAGAAGGACCCTAACAAATAAATGTTTCAGAGTATATATTTCAAAATGGCCCAATCCATGACTTTCTGTACTTTGGTCTTTCGTTATTTAAAAGGTCACAAACATGTTAATGGTGTGTCACCTCATGTTGATTATTAGAAGGTTGTACCATTTCACATTGTAATCAGCTAAACTCATGACTGTTCCATTGCTTATAGTTCTAGGCATGGTGGAAATTAATGAGATTTATAAATGTTCAGACTTCATTTTTATTACATTCAAATAAAATTTTTTAAATCTTTGATAAGCTGACTTTCCAATGAAACATTCTAGCTCCCTCCCTCACCCTTTTAAAATAAAAGTTCTCGCTACTTAAGATATACTTTGCCCCTTGACTGATAACATAATTCACAATATGCTTAAAATAATGACCCTTGGCATATTTCATTTGTTGGTCAGGATATTTGATGTATCAATTATTGTATTTCTAAAAACTTGTTTTTAATTATTGGGATTATATGCACATGTAAAATATCATTTTTGGTTGTTTTTTCATCAGAAATTCTCTTTCTAAAATATTTGTTTATGGTAAAATAACATTCCTGCTAGAGTATCTTTCTAACAGCCACTTCTTTTTGTATGTAGATAGTAAAATTTTGAAGACCTTAACAGGTTATTTTTTGTTTCTATGCTTGATAGTTTAAAATTTTTTTTTTGGTGGGAGTGGGAAAGGAGGGGTCCTGTATATCTCCTGTTAACACTGAATGTCCTTAGTGTCATATTATAATTGTGAAAGTTTTCTTAACAATGTGTTTTTAACAACTAATTAGAACATTTTTAATTTGAATCCAGGGCAAATTCACTTCTCATACCATTGTAGAAAACCATTTTAAACTAATATTACAGGCATATAAATTGTGTATGTGTTTATTTTAAGTTAAGATGATATTCAGGGAGCAAGATAATAAAAAACAATAAAACAACTTTAATTGTTCTATTTTATCACTTTCAGACCTTGCAGAATAAGGCCTCTAAAATTAAATATTAGTTTGACCATTTGTACAGTATTTGTCATTCCAAATCTTCAGAGTCATATTTGAGTTGAACAAGTAATTCATCCATTCATCTGTCTGTGCCAGTTTCCACATCAGTGAAATGTCAGCTCTATCAAAATACCTGCAGATCAGTGCAGTAATAGGTTTAAATCTTTGAATTCGTAACTGCCCATCTTTTACTTGTATTTTCTCCTTACATGATGGCCTTTAACATGTGGTGATTTCAAGAATCAAGAAACTGACGTGATGGAGACTGTTGGGTAGAAATGGATGTAAGATAGGAAGAAAATCAAGATTAGGGTAGAAGAGTTTTGAATATACAGGATACTTATTTTATTGTCTTATGTTCCCATTTCAAAGTCCTTCTGTCTCTCCTTAGTACTTCTTACATACAGAACCTGTTTTACAAGAAATCTAATTAGGATCAGTACAACTTCTGGAAAATATTCAGTAAAAGCATATATAAGTTAGAGGCTGAGAGGAGAGAGAGTGTGGACTGACACAGGAGATATAAAGAAATTCCATGCATTTCATGGTAAAGGGGATCAAATAGCATAAATCAAAACATTGCTTCTTTGGATGTGGTATTTTAATATTCGCAGGCACGCCAAAAATGTTTCACAAATATATTTCATGTAAAAAAGGTTTTATTTCTCTTGATAATTACACTTGGGCTGTTTTTTGTCAGCTTCAAACACATGAAACTTAGTTTTAAAAGTTGCTAAATATAGATACATAATATTTTATGTTGTGACCTCTAAACCTTCTTTCCCTTTATTAATTTTTTTATTACTCAAGTAATTCTAGCATCATGACAAAATATTCATTTGTTCATAAAATTTTATTATTGTAATAAAATTTTATTGTTGTAATTTAGCTGATGGGAAAGTTTCTGATGTACATATCCAAAAAAGCACATACCCTCCTTCTGTCAATGTAATTAAACCCTTAATAATAACAGTGATAGTGGCTGATAGCAGATGCCCTACCTCTTTCAAAGTGATAAAAGTTTTAATAATTACAAAAATAATAATAACAGCTAATATTTACATAGTGCCTACTATGTGTCACTGTGCAAGTACTTTACAAGTGTTACCTCATTTGATCTTCACAGTTCTGTGAAGTAAGTGCTGTTTTTATCCCCATTTTACAGTCGTGAAAACTGAAGCAAACAGAGGCTAAATGATATATACCCAGGGTTGAACAGCTAGTAAGTTAGTAAGTGCCTAAGGTCACTTTGAACTCAGATCTTCCTGACTGCAGGCCCAGCGCTCTATGCACTAAGGTGCCACCTAGTGGCATTTGTCTTAGTAGTAATCTATAAAGAGCTATAAAGAATCATAATTTCAGTACTACTGCTATAATTTATCTTAGTGTAGAAACACCAAATATGAGTTCATTCGTTCACATCCTAAAATGTGTTATTAACATTCAGTACAACAACACTAAGGTATTCCTAAAAGCTAGAACTTCCTAAAAGCTAGAACTTCCTAAAATGAAGCCAATGCCAGAATATAAATATATCAGAGATACTTCTTGAAAATTAGTGGCTTTATAACTTAACCTTAAATTGACCCATATTCCTAGATTAATTACTTGCATTTTGAGTTGAACTAGAATTCATGGATAGGGACTCTAACTTCTTTTACTTCATTTACTGTTCTCTTCGTTATGAGACTTGCAGCAGCCCTGTACTAGGGGAAAGGTAGAATTTGATTTCTCTAATAATGCTTTGCCAAGGCAAATGTAGTCTGATCACCTTATTTGAAAATAACAGAGGAATGGATATGGGGCATTTATAGTTAGCACAATGTTTATCTCCGAGACCCCATGAACTATTTTAAAATGTGGCTGTAGCATCAGTTTTCTCAATTTGTTTTTAAGCTTTGAATGTTTCATGGTTTCCTGAGAGATGTTTGGGTAAGGATGATGACATGTGTAAGGCTCCACAAATTACTGAAGTGTCTGAAGCACTTATAACTGGACTTGATTACTGTAGTAGAATTAGCTACTTTAATTGCTTCTATCGTAGCCTGTGTTTGCATATTTTAAAATTTTTTTTGCATTCTAAACTTGTGTATTTTAGAATTAGGCATATCTGAAAGTTGATGGATTCTGTGAGCCAAGCTGTAAACTAATGTGACTCAATATATAGTATTTTTTTAAAAGTACTTAGTAATTTAGCTTGTGGCAAAAAAAAAATATTATTCAAGCATTACTATCAGAATTTGTTAATATACTACAGATGAAAGATTTATCATTTTTCTGAATAGAGTAAATGTGAATCTGAACTATGGTGCATAATGAGTTACAATATTAATTACTATGATATAAAAAGTCTGAAAATGATAGAAAAACAGCTTAAGAATGGATCAATAGATTTACCATAGATCATTATATTTGTATAATAAATATAAAATGAAGTTTGAAATTTTTATTGTTCATCCTTCATTTTTGAAGAGGACTAGTGACATCACAGGTGCTATCTTCACTTGTGCATGAATTGGATTTAAGTGAGGCAGAGTTGCATAAAATCATCAGCCTCACTCTTTCTTCCCAAGTCATTGAAGTCCATTGGCAAGACAAAAGTCAAGATGACTGGCGATGGCCCAGGATGCAGTGGATGACCTTGGCATCTTTGATGCCTGACCAAACTCTAAGTGCTCCACAGCACCTGCTTCAGCCACCTTCACAGCCATTGGAACAAATTGTTCTCATTCACCCATTCTGCTGGAGAAAGTCTTCACATGCTGAGAATAGACATCCCCCTAACTCACATACAAGTTTGAGGCCCATTGGTTACCTTCAACCTGGTTTAGCCTATCTGCTGAGACAGTTTACCAGGGTGTGGCCATTGCACATGCTACAGCTTCTTGGAGCCACAGGTGATCGTTGGGTGAAGGTGGACACCAAAGGTGGATAAGTATCCTGAGAAAGACTTAGCAAGCCCTCACACTGGAGATGCTAATCCTCCTGAACACCCCATGTACCTCCCAAATTTTATCGGAACATTCACAAAATCCTATTCTGTTGCCTCTGTTGCATAGAAGTGACTGGATTATTGAAGGCTATGCCAAGATCTGGCAAGTTATGCCGTGCTGGGAAGGATTCAGTCATGATACTGCCAACAGATTGGATAGACTTTTTGATGACCAGCCTAGTTATGTTCAGAGAAGCTAGGCAGCTATAGATTAATGACTTGGTGATGAATTTTTTATTCATGGCAACATGAAACAAATAAAAATACAAAATGGCCCTCAGTTCCCTGTGACTCCCATCTGTTTTTTCACTGACTGTAGAATAAAAAGGGGGCAGGGGCAGCTAGGTGGCACAGTGGATAGAACACTGGCCATGAAGTCAGAAGGACCTGAGTTCAAATCCTGCCTCAGACTCATAACACTTACTAGCTGTGTGGCTCTGGGCAAGTCACTTAACCCCAATTGTCTTAACAAAAAAAAGAATAGAAAGGGGGCAGAGGAGGCTAAGAATCACACATTCCTTAGATCATTGATAAATATTAATTTTGATTATACCTGTGAGAACCTTGTTCACAAGTGAATGAACAGAATTTTATTAGTCTTGGTTTATTCACTATAAATAAAACCAAGGGAAGGAAGTTACAGATAAATAGAATATTTCTCAAGTTCTCCTTGAAGAGGAAAATAAAGGAGATAACAGTTTTTATTATGTGTGCATAGGCAACAAGAACACATCATTTCATACATTTATCTCATAATATAGTAAAAAGAACAGCATGAAAATAATTACAGTTTATATGCATTTGTTGCAGGAAATGAAGAGGTAGATAAATTATGTGAAGAATTTGATAAAGCCTAATAAGTTACATCAATGTGTAGGTAATTGATCTAAAACCTTTCAGCATAAGGAATAAGTGAAGCCAAAAAGTTGCAGACTAAACAGAAATATTAAGCCTATAAAAAATGAATAGTTTTTTCAAGAAATTGTTATAGGGGCAGCTAGATGGGGTCATGGTGCATAGAGTCCTGGGCCTGGAGTCAGGAAGACCTGTGTTCAGTTTTGACCTCATACGCTTACCGGCTGTGTGGCTCTGAGAAAGTCACTTAACCTCTGCTTGCCTCAGTTTCCTCTTCAATAAAATGAGGGTAATAATAACACTTAACTCTTAGAGTTGTTGTGACGATCAAATAATAATTGTGATTATTTTAAAGCACTTCACACAGTGCCTGACACATGGTAGGCACTATATAAATGTTAGCTCTCATCAGCTATTATTAAGAAAAGACTTAGAAAGTGATACATATGGTGAGCACTGAATAACATTACAGAAATAAAAATTGATTATTTTAAAAACAGGAAATGACTCGTTATTGATGTGGGAGTCATTCTCGAATCAGCTGTGTTGTCACACCACCTACTTGTTAGTGTGAAAATCAAAACACATAGCTAGAAGAATAAAAATGAGAAAAGATAAGGTGTTCAGCTAAAACAATACCAACCAGCATGATCTATTTAACCAAATAGTTAGTTTGGTTATTTTAACCAAAAATGGGAAATGCACAGAAAAAAGGACATTGATAGTGATATGACAATTTCATACAAAATTCAGTTGATATCAATCAGTTTCCATAATGAGAACAAGAGTGTCTATAAATGTGTGGAATTTCTCGTAAAATAATTTTATATAGATAGAATAGGCAGTATGGTTCAGTCAATACTGATGTGTTCTCAGGGTAGAGAGTGTGAACATTTTGTTAAAATTTGAGTTATTCGGCAAATACTTTAATTTGTCATAAGCAGAGAGATATGGAAGCCTAGAGCAGTGTTCTTTTAGGAAATAAACTTATTTATAAAATCTTAGGTAGAATGATGATGAGAGATTAAAGAATATTGCCTTATCAAAAGGCAGGTAGAACTGAGGAGAAGGATGAGAAATAGGAGAGGGGGATAAGGATGGGTGAGGGAAAGAGAACCTGTGGGAATACAGTTACTATAAAATAGATCGAGGAAAGATAACTAGAGAGACGAAGAACTATCTTTAAAGAGAGAAAGAAACAATAATGACAGCAAATCTGAGAAAAAGCAATATTAGAGATAGATGGAGGAAAATTAAATATAGCTCTAACTCATAACTTTAAATGTGAAAGGATTAAACAATCCAATAAAATAGAGCAATAGGTCAATCAGGAAAAAAAAAAACCACAATCTTTTGCTTATAAGAAATACAATTAAAAGGCAAAGACATCCAGAATAAAAATGATGGTCAGGAACAAATTTGCTATGCATTACGTGAATCCAAAAAACAGGAGTTGTGATCATGTCAGACAAAGCAAAAACAGAAATTTACAACATAAAAAGAGACAAACCAGGAAAGTTATGCTATCCTGAAATGAAACCTAAACATACCAATGTCATATTAAACTTATATACTCTAAATGCCTTAGCAACTAAATTCATAAAGGTGAAATTAATTGAATTACCAAAAGACATAGACAAGAATAAAATAGTGGCAAAATTGAAAAAAAAATTGCTGGAGAAACTAGAGCCAAAACACTTAAGGCATGTTATGAGCAGAAATTATAAAGAATATACACATTTCTTAATACCACATGGAATATTTAGACAGATTAACCCTATATTAGGGCATACAAATGTTGCAAATAAATGTTGAAAGGTAAAAATGGACAATACATCCTTTACAGACTATAAGACACTAAAAATATTAATCAGTACAGGGAATACAATATAGACCCAAATGGAAACTTAAGGGCAAAATCTTAAATAATGAGTGGGTCAGCCGACAATTGTAATAACAAAGTCACATAGTAAAATTTCTTGAATTCAATTAAAGCAGTCCTCAGGGGGAAATTATATCCCTAAAAGTATTTATTAACAAACTATGAAAGGAGAAGATTAATGAATCTGCATTTTTTAAAATTAGGTGACAAAATTAGGCAAAAATGAGGGATGACATTGGTATCTGTGTGCTCTAGTGGTATTCGTGTAATATCAAGAGAATGTATGGAGGAATGACCTTGTGAGTCACTTAACCTCTTGGGGCCTTTATTTTCTTCCATAAAGAGTGAAGGTTTTGAACTAGATAACCTCTGAGGTCCTATATCTGTGATCCCATTTTTGTCTGAAGAGACTCAGGATGTTTGACGGTCTTCTTTTGATAGAGGATCATGGACAAAATTTGCCAAAGATGGGCTTCAACTTGCATCCTTGGTACATCATGATGAGATCACCAATCCATTTGGAATATTTGAGAATTATAAAGTGAAATTGTGTTCATCAAAAAATGTCCTATGTTTCCAGATTGTGATATATGTTCATCAGTCTCACTTCGTTGTTTTAAGTGCCAAGGGAGGGGAAAATACTGCCAACTATAAGCATTTACCTTTTTTTATATCAACTTAATTTATATTTGTAGCAAGACTGCTTCTTAATCATTTAAGGTCTGGTTTTCAGTTGTGTGAATTGTATAATCTGTGCTTCACCTCTTTATCTTCTGTTATCTGCCTTTTACTCTCTTTTCTCATTCTCATTTGAAATGTTAATTAGTCATGAGACTAGAGAGTAAGGTCACTACTACTATACAGGAAGTTTACATTACTGCTTAAAATGAATTTAGGGATTTCTGGGCACTGTATTTATTTACATAGCTTACTTTACATAAGTATGAGTTCGTTACACACACACACACACACACACACACACATACACATACCACACATCCCTTGGTTTTTGGAAAGAAAGAAATAACAGTTTACTTTCCCAAATTTGTCAGATTCAAAACATCCCGCTAAGCTAGAATTAATATCTGTTGATAGGAAAGTATTTTATCAGTAAATACTCATAATCTCATAATTGCTCTGCCTTTTATTGTTACAGAAAAAAAAGAAAAATCTAGCAAGCCTAAAGATCCACCTCCTTTTGAAGGAATGGAGGTAAGACAACGCTGTAATAGGATGTTCATTTTAAAGTATTGTAGCTAAGTAACTACTTGTTATTTTTCTTTGAATAATGACAGCAATCAAATTAGTGAAGTGTGGAATTTTTTTGTAAATGAGACTGAAAAAGAACTCTTCTACAGTTACTGCTAGGAAAAAAAAAAAGAATGCCAGCTTCTTAAACTAAAGAGGAATAATGCTGACTATGACGTATTATGCCATGATTTCTTATAATAAGATGGATAAAGTTTTGAAATATTCTCTTTATAATAAAATTACATTATTGAATGGCCTTTTTAGTCTGTTGCAGTTCCTCCAAATTATTCAGCACAGTATTTAAGATATTTTACATTTGTAGTAATCCTAATTCCAATTTTTAGAGTATGTGCTTCCCTTTATATATATTTTGTGGTTTTATAACCACTAAAGCTGGTGCCCCAATCCTAAGTGTCTAGTTCTTTCCACAACAAAAAGAGGTCCATTACAAGTCCATAAGAAATTTGTTGTTGTAAGGAAGTATTAATTCCAGCCTGTGCTGAAAAATGAACTGCCTTTGGCTACACGTTAGGTATAATTTTTTTTTCACTTTAGTATCTCCTCCATCTCTCTTTGTATATTTCAGATTGATGAAGTGGCTAATATTAATGATATGGATGAGTACATTGAATTGTTGTATGAAGATATTCCTGATAAGGTGCGTGGCTCTGCCTTGATTCTGCAGCTTGCTCGAAATCCTGATAACTTGGAAGAACTACTGCTCAATGGTAATTTACATATATCCTGATTTTAAGAAAAACAAAAAACTCACGGTCACAAAACTCAATTTTTGGATTATCTATGATAATAGGTGGATCAATTTCATGAATAATCCAGAAATCACTCATAATTAGCTTTTGAAAACATAGTAATTTTTCAGCTAACTTATTTTCTTGCAGATATCTTATTAAAACATATATGTCTTTGAATATGTGCTATTTGAGAGGAATGTGCCTATCCAAAGAGGGCACTTGATGGTGGATAATGACAGTAGACTGATTTTTAACATTCTCTGTGGACTCTATAATTATAGACATCTGAATCACACAGAAAAATGAGAGTTGACTTCAGTGTTATCTTTTCTTTTCTCAAAAACTCCTTTTCTTACTAAGGTAATAATCATACAAACATTTTTATTCTGGTTACAATTTTAGTATTTTCTTAGTAAGAGAAAAATGCAACTAGCTTGTTTACTGTTTTTTAAAATTCTCTAAATTCCAGATTCTTGTTTTCCATTCACCAGAAGTGCTTGATAATTGAAGTTATTTCAGGCTGGTGTTTGCTTTAGGGCCTATTATGTGCAAGGCATTTTTAAACTATTAGTTATGGTGAAAGTTAAATCTCTTGTGATTTTATTGATAATTTTTCCATTTAATAGAGCTGTTCCAAAATATTGTCAGAATAGCCAAATAGTCTTTTTACAGTTGCTTACTGTACACAACAGTCACTCAGTTTTCACTTCACCTTGCATCAGTTCATATAGATCTTGCCATGTTTTTCTGAAACCACTCCCCTTGTCATTTCTTATAGCACAATAGTAGTCCATCACAATCATATGCCACCACTTACTTGTTCAACCATTTCCCAATTGATGATTGTCTCCTTGATTTCTAATTCTTTGCCACCACAAATATTATTACCATAAATGTTTTTGTACTTATAGATCCTTTTCTTTTTTCATTAATCTCTTTGGGATACAGCCCTAGTCGTGTTATTGCTGGGTCAAAGTGTATGCACAATTTTATAGCCCTTTGGCCATAGTTCCAAATTATTCTGCAGAATGGTTAGACCAATTCCCTACTCCCCCAGCAGTTTATTAGTATGCCTATTTTTCCCTCATCCCCTCCAGCATTTGTCATTTTTTCTAGGTGTGAGGTGGTATCTCAGAGTTTTTAAATTTGATTTAGCAAATATTTTCATGTGACTATAGATAGTTTCAATTTCTTCATCTAAAAACTGCCTGTTTATGTCATCTGACCATTTATCAATTGGGGTTTGATTTTTCTTCAACGTGTATCTCAGTGATACAAATCAAAACCCATCCATGGTTACCAGTCTTGTGTAACTTATATCCATATTCTCCAGTAAGTTCACCAAAGGAGTTTCCATTCAGTGTACTTTCTGCACATGTTCTTGGCTTTGCATAGATACCAATGGAAAATGAGCTATCCGTCAGTTACCTCTTCCTTTCTGTGTGACTGATCCATATTTTTTCTATTCATTTATTTCTCAAGTGCTATATTTTATACTGGTTTTCCTAATTTCTTTTTGTATTGTGTGTTAGCATACACACATCCAAGCCCCTCTCACTTGATCTTTGGATGATATTCAACTTTAATTCTTCAAAGACTATAATATTCCATGACTCAGTAGTATGTTATCTTTGAAAGAAAATGGGCATTTGAAAGTTTAGCCTTTGTTTCAAAGAGAAGTTTGAGGATCACTTAAAGAAGTTGGCAGTTTCCCAAGGCAAACCAGCCAACTCTTCTCTTGTTCAGTTTTAGGCCAGCTAAGCCCACTGCCCAATTGTAGTATGTGTCCAAGGTAGACACACTGATGGATAAGCTATGTAGGCTGTCTATCCATCCATATATCATATTCTTGAGAGTAGGTGATTTGTTACCACCTTGGGTTTTTTTTGTGTGTCAGTAACAGACCAAACTCTTTAAAATGATTATGGATCTCACTCAGGAGGCTTCTCAGTCTTGATAAAATCAGCACAATTTTCATCGGAAAATAGGAACAACTAGAGGAATTTACCGTCTATGGAGAATTCCTCTTTGAGTTGGTCCTTACGTTGAACCTCTTCTTCTTTTCAGTAATTTAATAGTTATGATTATTGTGATATCTTTTCAGAAATCTTTTATTATTTGGACATATGCATAGGAGATGTGTTGAAGGAGGGCATTTAAGCTACCATTTTGCTCAGTTAAGTGCTAAATTTAAATTGATAAGCACAGTAAGATTTTATATATTATCTTGCTTTCACTCTTTATACTTTGTCAAGCCTCAACCCTGAATTACTTTCTCTATCTGCCTCTCCTGTTACTCATGTTGAACAGAACTGAAGGGAAAAAAATGCTAGAGTCTGCTATAGATTTAAGCTAGCTAATATCAACTGGGCCCATCCTACTTCCCTATGTTGCTTAACTTGTTTCAAGCCTTTTTCCTGGAAGCTGTTGACACCGCTTATTTTCTGCTGCCTATAAACCTGCCCATGTTTGTCCCCATTTTTAAAAATCCTCAGTAGATCCTAGCATCCCCACTAGTCATCATTCTATATATCTCCTCCCCTTTTCAGCCAAGCTCCTTAAAAAAGTCATCTGTACTTCCTCTACTTTCCGTCTGTTCTAAACCATGTGCAATCTGGCTTCAAACCTCATCATTCAGATGAAACTTTTCTACCCAGTTACTACTATTGCTCTCTCAGTTGCTAAATCTAATGCCCTCTTCTCAATCTTCATCCTTTTTGACCTTTATAGCATTTGACACTATTGTCCCATTTCTCCTCCTGGATATACTCTGCTTTCTGGGTTTTTGTGATAATTGTGGTTTTCTTCTTCCCCATATGACTGCTCCTTCTCAGTCTTCTTTGCTGAATCTGCTTCCACATTATGTTCACTAACTGTGGCTCTGTCTTGGGCCCTCTTCTCTGTTCTCCCTCGCTTTGGTGATCTCATCAGCTCTCACGAATTCACTTATCATCTTTATTCAGATGATTCCCGTATTCGCTTATCCAGCTGCAGTCTCTCTGTTGACTTCTAGCCCCACATCACCAGCTAGCTGGATGTGCTATAGACATTTGAAACTCAGCATTTCCAAAAGGGAATTTATCTTTCCTCACAAACTTTCCTTCTCCAAACTATTACTGTCAAGGGTACCACCATCCTTCTAGTCAACCAGGTTCACCACCTCAGGATTATCCTTGACTCCTCACTCTTTGCACACTCCACATATCCAAATCTTATAATTTCTTTCTCAGTATCGTCTCTTGTGCGCTTGTCTCTACCCATACAGCCACCAACCCTAGTTCAGGCCCTTATCACCTTACATTGAGGTTATTACAATAGGTGGTTGGTGAGTCTGCCTGCCCCATGTCACTCCTCATGTTAATCTACCCTCCATTCAGCCACTAAAGTGATTTTTCCTAAAGCAGAAGTCTGACCAAGTCCCCTCCCTGCATAATAAATTCCATTAGCTGTCTTTTGCCTGTAGGATAAAATACTACTTGCGGTGTTCAGAGCCCTTCAAATCTAGCCTGCTACTACCTTTCCAGTGTTCTTATACTTACTGTCTACCATGTTCTACTCCTTAATCTAGTAACACTGCCCTCTTATCTGTTCCACAGACAAAATGCTGCAGCTGTCAGCCCTGAGCATTTTTTCAGGCTTCTCTTATTCTGGAAGGCTCCCCTTCCTCATCTCTGCCTTCTGCCTTTGCTGGCTTCGTTTAAGTCCCAACTAAAATCTCACCTTCTACAGGAAACCTTTCCTAACCTGTATTATTTCTACTGCTTTCCATCTATTAATTATTTCCTGTTTATCTGGAGTATAATTTGTTTGTATGTATTTATTGTCTCCAGTAGGGCATGCACTTCTGAACGGCAAGAGCTATCTAGTTAAAAGGGGGAAGGATACACAAACACACAGCATAGGTTACCCAGCAGTGAAGTTGAAGGGAAAGGAGGTAAAGGAAAGAATGAGGGGATAAGAGAAGAGGAAGAATAGATTAAGGAAGGCAGCAGTCAGAAGCAAAACAGACAGTTCAGTAAAGGACAGAGGACAAAAAGAGAAAGGAAAATATAAGAGAATGGGATGTAACGAAATAACGTAGAACTTGAATAGATGACCTCACCCATAAAACAGAAGGTGATAGAATAAATTGAAAATAGAATTCAATAATATATTGTTTATAAAAAAGACACTTGAAACAGATGCAGAATTAAAATAGGGGCTAGATCAAATTTTGTTACGCTTCAGCTCAAGTAAAAAAGGCAGGAGTAGTAATCATCTCAGACAAAGCAAAAGTAAATATAGACCTAATAGAGATAAACAAGACTAGATTTTGCTAAAAGATATCATAGACAATGAATTAAAATTAATACTAAATATATATACACCAGATGATGTAGCATCTAAATTCTTAAAGGAAAAGTTAATGAATTATTGGAAGAAATGGAGAGTAGAACTATAATATTGAAGGATCTCAATTTACCCCTCTCAGACCTAGATAAATCTAATCTTAAAATAAACAAAAAAGAAGTTAAGGAGATGAATAGAATTTTTTAAAAGTTAGATATGATAGATTTGTAGGGAATATTGAATGGGAATAGAAAGGAGTATATTTCTCAACTATTTATTAGCTGTACATAAAACCTTTACAAGAATTGAGCATGTATTAGGGCAAAAAACCTCACGAACAAATGCAAAAAATTAAAAATGTTAAATGCACTTTTACTACCCATAATGAAATAAAAATCATATTCAATGAAGGACCTTTGAAGCAAAGATTAAAAATTAAAAGATTAAAAAATTTAAAATTAATTGGAAATTAACTAACTTCATCCTAAAGAATGAGTAGGTCAAAAACATCACAGAAACAATTAATAATTTCATTAAAGATAATGACAGCAATGAGACAAAATTTAAAAATTTGTAGCCAGAGTTGTGTATGTATCCAAAGTACTACAAAGGGGAAATTTTATATTTCTGAACAAATGAACTAGACATGCAAAGAACCTCAAAACCAACAAACAAATTAAAAATCTTGACTTAAACACCAAAATAGAAATCCTGAAAAACAAAGGTGAAATGAATAAAATTAGAAGTTTAAAAAAATAAAAGCATTGAAATAATAAATAGAAATAGTAGTTTTAAAAATAAAAAATTTAGAAAATTGGATTTAAATAAAGAAGAAAACCAAATTAGCAGTGTCAAAAATGAAAAAAGTGAAGTCACAGTCATTGAAGAAATAAAAGTAATTGTTAGAAGTTATTTTGCCCAACAACATGCCAATAAAACTGACAATCTAAATGAAATGTATAAATATTTACAAACTAAAAATTTTCTGAGATAACCAAACAAGAAACAGAATAATCATATTATAGAAAAATAAATTGAAGAAGCCATAAATGAACTCCCAAAGGAAAAATAAAAGATCAAATGGATGACAAGTGAATTCCACAAACGTTTACATAATAATTCCAATGTTACATAAGCTATTTGAAAAAATAAGGAATCCAACTAAATTCCTTCTATAACACAAATGTGATATGGTCTTGATATATAAATCAGAGAGTCAAGAGAGAAAGAAAAATATAGCCTAATTTCCAAAATAAACATTTATTTAAAAACTTAGATGAAATACTGGCGAGGAGATTATAACAATGTATTACAAAGATCACACACTGTAATTATGCTGGATTTATACCAGAAATATCGGGCTTTTTCAACATTAGTAAAATAATGATATGATTGAATACATTAATAACAAAAGCAATTAAGATAATTTTTTCAATAGATGCAGAAAAAGCTTTTGACAAAATACAACATCTATTCTCAACAAAAAAACAAGAAAGCATAGGAATAAACAAATCTTTCCCTAAAATGATAAGAAGTATCCACCTAAAACCAAGAGCCAACATTATATGTAATAGGGACAAGTTAGAAATTTTTCCAAAATGATAAGGAATGAAACAAGTTCAGTATCATCATTACTATTCAATATTGAACTAGACATGCTATCTATAGCAATAAGACAAGAAAAAGAAATTAAGAGAATAAGCATAAGCAAAGAGAAAAAAACTTGCTTTTTGTAGAAGATAAGATATTTTACTTAAAGAATCTTAGTGAGTCAACTAAAAACTAACTGAAACAATTATAAAATTTCAGGAAAGTTGCAGGATATGAAATAAGACATACAAGTCATTGACATTTCTGTATATTACCCAGGACATCCACCAGGAAAAGAGAGAAATTTCAGTTAAAGCAACTACAAATCATATAAAACACATGAATCTACTGGTCAAGACATAACACATAAGAGCTGTATGAATACAATTGCAAAACAATCATTATGCAAATAAAGGCTGAACTAAATAATTGGAGATGTATTAGTTTCTCATGGGGAGGCCAAGCCAATATGAGAAAATGACAATATTGCCTAAATTAATTTACTTATTCAGTGCTATACCAATCAAACTACCAAAGAATTACTTTATTGACTTTGAAAAAAATATTAACACAATTCACCTGGAGAGGGAAAAATAAAAAATATCAAGGGAATCAATGAAAAAAATGGTGAGGAAGGAAGCCTAATAACCTGGTCTCAAACTATACTATGAAGTTATAATTTTCAAAACACCTTGGGACTGGGAAAGAAATAGATTGATCAGTAGAATAGATTGGGCACACAATGTATGGAAGCAAATGAGTACAGTAACCTGGTGTTTGATAAACTCAGTGATCCCAGATATTGGGGCAAGAACTCATTATTTGACAGAAAGTGTTGGGGAAACTGTATAACAATCTGGCAGAATCCAGCTATAGACTAACATCACACATCATGTACTAAGATAAGCTCTAAATGGGTACATGATTTAGATGTAAAGAGTGATACCATGAGCAAATTAGGGGAGCGTGGAAGAAATCACCTCTGTGATATATGGATAGGAGAAGAGTTCATGACCAAATCGATAAAGAGGTTAATAGGAAGAAGCTCTGAAAGACTTAAGAACTCTGATCAACACAGTGACTAACCATAATTCCAGAGGACTCGTGATGAAATCTGCTAGTGGACCAGAATATAAATCGAAGCTTTTCTTTTCTTTTCTCAGATTTTCTTTCTTTCTTTCTTTTTTGTCATGACTAATGAAGGAACTTGTTTTGTATGACTATGCATATTTTTAACGACCATTTTTCTAGCCTCAATAAGTAGGGGAGGGGCTAGGGGTAGGAGAGAATTCAGAAATGAAAATAAAATAAAATTGAATTTTTTTAAATGGAAAAAAATAAAGCATATTACTGACCATTTTAGCACCCTACCCCCCAGTAAATACCAACTTCCAATTACTTATAGGATTGAATATAAAATCTTCTATTTGGCAATAACCTGGCCCCTTTCTACCATTGTTTTTCAGTCATGTCCAACTGTTCATGACTCTGTATGGGGCTTTCTTGGCAATGATGCTGGAGTGGCTTGCCATTGCCTTTCCCCAGTGGATTAAAACAAACAGAGATTGAGTGACTTGCCCAGGATCTCACAGCTAGGAAGTGTCTGAGGCCAGTTTGAACTTCTTGACTCCAGGCCCTGGCTCTATCCACTGAGCAACCTAGCTGCCTCCTGATAATGTAACTGTCCCACTGTATTCTTCCCTGGTCAGACCACCTCTCGAATATTTCACTGAGTTCAGGTTATCACATTTTAGAAAGGTCTTTTTAAAAAAGAGACTGTACCCAGAAGAGGGTGAACAGGATGGCCTGGAACCATTTCATAAGAGTATTTCTTAAAGGAACTAGGGAAGTCTAGGCTGCAAAATGAAATACTTGGGGGGAGGGGGGAGAAATGATTTCTGTCTTTAAGGTGTTTGAGCAGTTGTATTGTGAAGGGTTGTTCAGTTTGTCTCCAAAGGGTAGAAGAACTAGAAGCAACAAGGGGAAGCTGTAGAGAGGCAGATTTAAGTTTAATACAAAGAAAATTTAACACAAAATTAGGGGAGTCAAAAGGTAGAATGAATTCCCTTGATTGATTAGGGAGTTCCCTTTTACTAGACTTGGAGTCCACAGAAACTTAGTTTCAGAAATGGAAAGAGATTCATAAGCTACACACCACAGGCTACTGAACTGAACTTCCATTTTGGCAAAATTTTATAACATGTAAATAAAGGGATTCCTTATTTTATATTTACATTCTTGATGTATTTTTGTGAAGTTTTACATTTTATAGATTTTAATTTATTGAACTTATTTTCTGTGGCTAAAAACAGAGACTTGCTTTCTGTCATCTTTTTCCCAATTCTAACATATTAGCCTGATTTTAATAGGTGAAAGTGTCACATTGTACTTTGTACTAGAGATGAAGTAGATAATTGTTCTTTGGAAATTTTTTTCATCAGAAACTGCCCTTGGTGCATTAGCCAGAGTATTGAGAGAAGACTGGAAGCAAAGTGTAGAACTGGCTACTAACATAATATATATCTTCTTCTGCTTTTCCAGGTAAGTACAAGAATTATGAAACTAATGTTAAGTGCCTCTCCTATATTCCAGTTTTGTTTTTTTTAAATCATTCTAACGTAGTACATTTTAGAAAATAAAAAATAAATGTTCATTTAGTAAACAGGAAGATATTGGAAGTTATAGTCTGTGTGATAAAGTGGCTTTCGAACATTGTGACATAATTAGTCTTGCTAAGTAGCTTTCTGCAAATTGTTTTTGAGGATAGCTTAGTGAATGGCTACTAGAGTTGTAATTATTAAAAATATGTTGTGAGTAATTCTGTTTTTTTTTGCTTTAAATTTGAATCATTTTATAAGAACTTAAAGAATGCCAATTCTGAGAGCAATAAAGTCTTATGGATTTCAGGTCTTCAATGTGTAATGTGTATATATTCATTTATAAAAATATTATCTCATAGTATAGTGTGTATTAGTTTATTTTACTGTGTATTAAAACCTGTTGCCTCAAGCTTGAATTGCACCTATTTCTACAAATACATATATACATCTTTCCTTTTAATGTAGTTTTTCTCAATTTCATGGGCTAATCACTCATTATAAAATTGGAGCTCTGTGTATGAATATAATTGATCATGAGCTGAAGAGACATGAACTCTGGCAAGAGGAACTTTCTAAGAAGAAGAAAGCTGATATCCTTTCAGAATGAAAGTTCAGTCTGAAGACTGTAGCTTTTAACAGTAGATATATTGAAAATTTTTTATCTTGTCATATTGGTGATATAGCATTAATAAAGTACTTTTACTCAAAGAAAGTAAAAGTGAAAACATCAGAATAAACAGTTATGTTAAAAAGTTCTTTGTTGTATCAGATTGAAATTTGTTTCCCTATAACTTACAACCCTTGGTTCTAGTTTTCTCTCTGGAATAACAAAGAACAAATCTTCTTCTGCATACTAGCCATGCAAGTATTTTAAGATGGCTTTCTTCATGACAAATAACTGAATGAATGAATGAGCTTCCTCAGTGTCCCTTCATGACAGTGTCTCTATCTGTATCACTCTCACCTGAATGCTCTCTATTTAGTCACTGCTCTCTCAAAGTGTTGCTGCCAGAATTAGATAAGATACTCATTGAAGAAATTGAGACTATAGACAGCCTGTTGTGTTCAAAGATTTTGTATGTGAGTTGGTTGGAACTTGGAATTCATTTTGCCATAGAAGCAATGTTATTGGTAATGACTATATAGTATACCTGAAGCATTTTACTATAGAAGCAAACCACTTTTATGACATTTTTTCCAACGGAAAATTCTTTTAGAGTTCTAATTTAGGATGTCAAAAACACATCTACTTCTATTTCTACAATGAGACTGTGGACCTGCTCATGTACCCATGAGGCAATAGTACTGTTGATAAACAATTATTATGTACACTGTGGGAAGTACTATCCTGCTTGCTAGGAATACAAAGAATAGTTTAAAATATCCCTGCCTTCAAGGAGTTCATATTCTGAAGAGAGAGAAAACAAGCAGACAACTATATACATACAAAATATATACAGAGTTGATGAAAGATAGTTTCAGGAAAGCCCCGTAAGGTAGAGGAGATTGGGAACGCTGGGAAAGATCTGCTGGAAGTAGAATTTGAGCTGAGTCCTGAAAGAAGTCAGAGAAGCCAGTAGGAAAAGATGAAAAGGGAGAGCATTGCAGGCATGAGGGACAGCCATTAAAAAGGAATGGAGATGGGATGTCATGTGTGAGGAATAGCAGATAATGCACATATATTGCTAGATCATAAAACATATATATAATATATTATATATATATATATATATATATATATATATATATATATATAGTGGTGAGTAAAGTGTAAGACTGGATACAATGAATTTAAAATATAACATTATGAAGAGCTTTAAATGTTAAACAGAATATTTTATATTAGGTCCTAGAAGTAACAGGGAATCATTTGTGTTTATTGATTATGGAGTGATATGGTTATTCCTCTCCAGGCTGTACTTGGGACTTCCTCTACTGTGCCCCAGCTTCTCTTCCTGAAGCTTTACCTCAACCCTGGAATTCATATATTGGAATTGCCTTCTTTCTCTGATTGATGGCTCCTCCCAGAACCTTCATTTGTGGAAGAATGCCCTGGCCAAACATGTCTCAGTCCTCATAGAGCTGCATACGGGACTTCCTTTATCATGCCTCTTGGCAGGGTACTTTCCCTCCCAGCTTCCCCCGTCCCTTAACAAAACACTCACACACACACACGCACACACACACACACACACACACACACACACACACACACACACTTTTCAGCTTCTGTTTGTGTATTGTCTTCCCCCATTAGAATGTAAGCTTTTTGAGATCAGGGATTGCCCTTTTTTTTTTCTACTGGAATTTGTATTCCCAGCATTTAGTACAGTAGCTGGCACACTTAAAAAGTGCTAATTGATCAAACGACTGACTGTACTATAGGAAGATCACTTTGTTAGCTGAGTAGAGGATGAACTAGAGTGGGGAGAGACTTGAGGTACAGATACCAATTAGAAGCCTGTTGTAATAGTCCAGTCATGAAATGATGAGAGTCTATAACTCTGCATGTCAAGAGAAGGGGATGTATGTGAGAAATGTTATAAAGGTAAAAACAATAAGACATGGCAACAGAGAGGATATTTAGAGTTGTGAATGCAGGATGAATCAAGAATCACACCAAGTTTGAGATCAGTTGGGAATGTTGTAGCATGCTCAATAGTAATAGGGAAATTTGGGAGAGGCAGATATTTGGAGGGGAAAATGATTAGTTTTAGAGGCGTTGAGTTTGAGATGCCCATGGTCCATACGGGTTTAGCTATCTAGGAATGCCTCATTGGCAATAACTCTTATACGTAGTAGCTATGGACAATAAATAGGAAGTGAGGGTAGGGATTTGGGGGATTGAGGATAAGTAGGAATAGCAGCAGGGCTTCCTTATCAATATCAGCCGTGGGTGAAACTTTTTGGTCTCATTCTTGATAGTATGCCAAAATCTCTTTTTATTTCTTCTGTGAGTCTCAAGAATTTATTTTCCTGTTTACTTTTTCATGGTTAACGACTGTTGTTTCTGAGGATTTCTTACCATTATGACTAATCTTCAATAGAACATTGTCTTACATATTCTCTTCTGTTTTCCTGAACCTGATCCAAACGCATTGCCCTATGGGAGTGGGCAGAGATGTTTTTGTATGACTACTGTCCTTTTCAACCCATGACTTTTCCAACCCTAAAATATACTCAAGGCTACTTATTCCAAAAGTGGTGTCAAAATTGGTCCATTTCACAAAGCATTAGGCCTGACCCACTTAACATTGAAAGTTGGACCTTATTTAAATCAGAAGCTCTAATAAACTTGAAGGAGAGCTGGGGTAAACATTCCTGTCTGTAGTATTTAACCAATCTTGTTATAAGTTCATGTGTTGTCTCTAGTTATTACTTAATTTTATGTTGTGAGCTTTTGGACAGTGGTGTATAGCTTTTTAATGATGTATTTTAATTGAAGGTGCAATTAATAAGCACCATGTAAGGTGCTGAGGCTGTAAAGACAGAAATGAAACAATCTCTGCCCATAAAAGACTCACATTCTACAGTTATGTATTTGTCCAGAATTAATGAATGAAGTTCTGTGTAATTGAACATAGGAATATGTGAGTATGGCAATTTTGAATACATTTTTCAATAGATTTCCTCTGCTTTATGAATATAATATGATCCTTAACTTGATATTTTTACTTGAAGAAGACCCTGAAAACCAAACTATGAAAAAAGATTATGAAAAAACCTATAAGAAGTACCAAGGTTTGGTGGTAAAACAGGAGCAGCTCTTACGAGGTACAGATTCCTAATTTATAGAAAAGAAAAAAGTATTTACTTTATAGATGTATTCATTTGTTCTGGTTTTCATAATCTTACAAAGGCCAAATCCAAAATTAATAGAAAATGTTATAAATTTCAGTATAATGTATGCCTTCTCGTTACCTGTCCTTAACCTCAAGTTTGTTTCCAGTTAGTTGGTTGTTTAAGCAATCATCACGTTCTCCTTCTATTCTTCAGTTACCCCCATTGGCTTTTCATCAATATGTACTCTAAATATTAAAGTTTACATATGCTTAGAGTTCAGATACCTCAAACACAACTTTTCAGAGATGTTTTTTCTAACATTAAAATATTTCATCTAATTTCCAACATAAAAGGTCACAGTTTTCCATAGATGAAATTGCAAAAACATAGATAGATAGACAGATAGATAGATAGATAGATAAATCTGAGCATTTCTTTGATTTAAGAACAGTACTCTCATGTTTCTGGACTTTATTGATAGTATAAAATAAACATAAACAGAGTCTGGAACTTAGAATCTCTGTGTCCTTGTTTAAGACTAAAACTCTGAAGATGGTTATTAGCAAGAATGAATTGATACTCTTTGATGGATGTCCAGCTCCATATTGTAGATACCCACCTCATAAGTATTTATTTGATCAACACACTGAAATCTGGTAGTTTAAGTTCCTATATTATTATTGTTGGTCAGTTATTTTCAGTCACATCCAACTCTTAGTAACCCCATTTGAGGTTTTCTTGGCAAAGATACTGGAGTGGTTTGCCATTTCCTTCTCCAGCTCATTTTACACATGAGGAAACTGAGGAAAATAGGGTTAAATGACTTGCCCAGGGTCACATAGCTAGTAAGAATGTTCAGGTCTTCCTGACTGGTGTTTTATCTGCTATGTCACCTAGCTGCCCATTAAAAACTGTACTACATAGAGGTAATTTGTTATAGTCACATAACAACATTCATAAAATCATTTAAACCTCTGAACATTAACAGAAGTTGCATAATTTGTCTTAATCATTCAAGAAGCACTTTGATCACATTTTTTTTCAAAAGTTGGGCTTTAAATAGAATTTTTAGAAAGAGGTAGGCATGAGAGATCAATAAATTATCTTAGTCTTAAAGGATCTATTTATTAATTTCTAATGTTTTATATCAAAGTTTAACAGACCTAAATTGAATTTTTAACTTTTAACATGCCATAATGTTAATCAAATATTTAAAGTGATATGTTGAAAATTATGATGAAATAACCTATTTTAAACTTTCATATATTTTAGGCCTTCATTTAACATTTATTGATTTATTGTAGCAATTTGAATGAGAAAAAAATGATTTCTTTCTCACAAAATTTGGAGGCACATTTTTCATTTTAACTAGCTTCAGAATAACAACCTTAGTGTATTAGCGCATAATAAATAATTTGCCTTGGTTTCTCAGATCTGTGATAATTACTATTTCCACATCTGCATATTTAACAATTTTTTTCTGATTTATCTACCCTTAATTATTAACTAATAAAGATGGCTGAAAATAATGCTTATCTCCCGTTAGAACTTTGGTTTATAGGAAAGAATTATTATGTTTTGAAAAACTCATCAATCCAATACTCTAACCAGTTACTTTTATTTTTCTAGTTGCTCTTTATTTGCTTTTGAACCTTGCTGAGGATACTCGGACTGAGCTGAAAATGAGGAACAAGAACATAGTTCATATGCTAGTGAAGGCACTTGATCGAGATAATTTTGAACTCCTAATTCTGGTGGTGTCTTTCCTAAAGAAGCTTAGCATTTTTATGGAAAATAAAAATGACATGGTAAGTTGTGAACCTACTTCCTAAACTGTTCTGTGTCGGAAGTTGCTGTAAAAAAAAAAAAGACAACTGTAGTACTATCAGAACAACATCATTTATCCAAATTTCAGTTCTCTCTTTACCATAATAGCATCTCATTTATCTGATAACATCAGGGAAAGAGGTATTCAAGATTAGAGAGTCTTCTAGATAAGTCAAGCTTTTTAGATGAACAAGATATATTTTATAGAGCACTGAAGAAAAGAGCATAATTTCCCCATAGGAGGCTTGTTCTGTTGAGAATTGAGTCTCAGTTGATCAGAGAGGAACAATTTAAGAGGTATGAACAGTGGATGACATGGCTACTTATTTAGTGCCCTATCATGAAATAACACATAAGGTTTTAATTTCAAAATTATGTATCTATCCAATAGGTAGATGTAATAGAAATAGGCACATAAGATATCCCATAGTAGATAGACATAGAAATAGATAACATAAGCATATATGTTCTCAAATCTGTATATACATACACATATCCTTACGTTTGTACACATATCAATTAAATATATGCCCATATAAATACACACATAACTATACGTGCATTTATAAATAATGGGAAATAAATATAAATATATGTTTTTAAAAGAATTATTATTCAATATATGGTTTTTCAAAATTTTTATTTTGAACTTAAACACAAAAAAATCATTTCCATAGACATAACACAAAAGGAAGATTATATCTGAAACTTTGAATCTCCATTTCATACTGGTTGGTTTTTTTTAAAAGTTATAATAAAATCCACACGTTACTTTGAGAGCTGTTTTGCTTGTCTGTGCTTTCTTCTGCACTCCCTTCTGATTTCTTCTATACAATTAAAAAAAGTTTCATTTGTCTTTTGTTTTTGGAATAAGTATTGCCAACCTCTTTTCTCTTCCAGCCTTCCTCCATAATTAAAAAAAAATCCTTGGGAAAGGAAAAAAAACTTTATAACAAAAAAGCATAGTCAAGCACAATAGCCATGTTCAAAAATATCTCTCTTGCATGTTGAATCGCTTAGCTCTCTGTCGAAAGGTGAACAGCATGTTGCAGGTTAGGCCTCCTAGAGATGCAGTTCATTTTGTTGTTTGGCTCTCAGAGTTGTTTTTCTTTACAGTATTGTTGTTCTTGTGTAAATTTTTCTTCTGATTCAGATCACTTTATTATATGTCAATTCATCCTACCCCAGATTCTCTGAAATCTTTTTCATCGTTTCTTACCATGCAGGAATATTCCATTACATTCATAAACCACAATTTAGTCAGCCATTCCCCTTGAAATTCACTTGTTTGGATTCTTGCTATTTATTTGTTTTCATTTTAAATCCCTCCTTCAGAATAGTAAAGTATATTTTGCTTGGGGCTGTTCCTTCCCCTCTAGTATTCTCCCTTTTAACTTTCTTCTCCCTGTCACCACTTGATTCTCTGTTGGGTTTGATGTGTTTTTATACCAAACCATATATATGTATGTTCAGCCCTCCTTTGTTTAATTCAGGTAAGAGTATAGTTCATCTGATGCTGGCTTCCCCCACCTCTTGCTTCATAGTTTATAAAACTTTTCCTCTCACTCAACCCAATTGTGATAAATAGCCAGTTCTCTCCCCTTCCTTTTTTCTATAATAGTGGTTTCCTTTTGCATATCCTTCTCTTTCCCCTCTTAACCCTCAGAATAGAACCAATCCACTACTTTTTAAAATTATTTTATTTTTACATGAACTTATAATCTGTACCTCTCACTTCTTTCTCCCAATTAATTTAATTAAAAGAAAGAAACCCTCATTACAAATATTCATGATCTGGCAAATCAAATTTCTTACATTGTCCACGTCCAAAAATATATGTCTCATGGCATTTTAAGTTTGTCACTTCACTGGCAGGAACTGACTGGCTTGTTTCATTCATTTTCAGTCTTTTGCAGTTGGGTTTTTTCATTGCATTGGTCAGAGTTCTGAAATCTTTCAGAGTTGTTTCTCTTTATAGTATTGCTGTGAAATAAGTTGTCAAGTCAGATAGCATTTATTGTACCTCTTATTTGCCAGACGCTGTTCTGCTTACTTTGCTGTTGTCATTGACATCTTCCTAATTTCCTCTGAAACTGTCCATTCATCATTTCTTCTGACATAATATTCCATTATATTCATTTAGGCATTTTCCAGTGGGATAACCCCTGCCCCTTTCTTTTCAGTTTTCAGCTACTAGGTAAATAGTTGCTGTAAATAGTTTTGTGTGTGTAGGTCCATTTCCTCTTTAATCTCTTTGGGGTGGGGTGGGGTGAGGTGGGGTATAAGCCTAAAAGTGGTATAGATGGATCAGTGAGTATACATAGTTTGCAGAGTTACCACTTTGGGGGCATAGTATTGAATTACTTTGCAGAACAAGTCACAACTCCACCAACCGTGCATTAGTATGACTCTTTTCTCACAGGCCTTCCAGTAATATTCCTCTTATATCTTTACCGTTCTGTTGGGTGTGAGTTGGAACCTCAAAGTTACTTTAATTTATTTTTCTCTGATTATTAGCAATTTAGAAAATGTTTTTCATACATTTGTTGATAGCTTAGATTATATCTGTTGAAAACATTGATATTTATTGGGTAATGGATTAGTTTTAAAATTTTGAATTGGTTCCATGTATCTCTTTGATAAGAGTCCTTTATAAGAAAAGTTTGCTATAAGATTTGTTCTCAGTTAAACGTTTCTGTTCTAATTAATTCTAACTATATCAGACTTGTTTATGCAAAACCTTTTTGATTTTATATAATCAGAATTATCCATTGTATTTTCTGTGATCCTCCCTATCATTTGTTTAGTCTCTATCCATAGAGGTGAAGGGTAATTCCTTCCTTACTCTTCTAATTTATTCATAATATGACCTTTTGTATCTATGTCATATATACATTTGGAACTTAGCTTGGTATATGGTATGAGGTATTAGTCTAAACTTAATTTATGTCCAGTAGTTGTTTTTCAGTTTTTACAGCAGTTAAATACAAAAGCAGTTAAATAATGAGATCTTTCAGTAAGTGGGGGTCTTTAGTTTATTGAACACTATTCTACTATTTTTATTTGCTTTTGTATGCTGAGTATGTAATCTGTTCTACTGATAGACCTATTTTTTAACCACTACCAAATCATTTTAACAGTTTGCTTTGTAGTATCATTTAAGATTTGGTGCTAATGGGCCTTCCTTTTTACTTCTTTTTTTTGTTATTATTCTTGAGATTCTTGACTTTTTGTTTTCATCCATAGGAATTTCATTATTATTTTTCCTAATGCTTTATAATACTCTTTTGAAAGTTTGATTGGTACAAAACTGAATAAATAAATTAATTTAGACAGTATTGCCTTTTTATTATAAATTGACTTGTGAGCAATTAATATTTTTTCCAATCTTTAAAGAATATTTTATTATTAGATTAATAGGTTCTTGGGTAAATCTTGGTAAATATACACCCAAATATTTTGTAGTTATTTTAAGTGGAGTTTCTATTTCTGTTTCTTCTGGCTTAGTTTTGTTTGTGATACAGGAAAACTGATGATTTGTATAGATTTATTTTATATTCCGCAACTGTCTTGATATTGTTTCATTTAATTTTTGGTTGACTCTAGGGTTTTCTAGGGAAATCATTTTATCTGCAAAAGGTGATAATTTTTTCTTTCCTTTTGTTTATTTAGATTTTTCATGTCTTATTATAGAGCTAGTATTCTGTGTTACATAATAGTGGTGATAATGGATGTCCTTCTTTTACTCTTGATCTTACTCTTTTTACCATTACATGTAATGTTTATTCTTGGATTTAAATAGATATTATTGACTATGTTAAGAAAAGGTTCATTTATTCCGGTGCTTTCTAGAATTTTTAGTTGAAATGGATGTTGGATTTTGTCAAAAGTCTTTTCTGCGTTTATTGATATAATCATATGGTTTTCGTTATTTATATTTTTAACATGATTGATTATATTTATAGTCTTTCTTATGTTGAACCAACACATTTTTCCTGGTGTAAACTCAACCTGGTTATGATGCACAATATTTCTAATATGTCATTGTGGCCTACTTGCTAATATTTTATTTAAAGTTTTTGTGTCAATATTCTTTTGGGATATTAATTTGTAATTTTCTTTCTCTGCTTTGGAAAAGACTGAAAGGGTTCCTTTTCTTATTACTGCAAATAGTTTGTGTAGCACTGAAATTATTTTTTTAATGTTAGACAGAATTTGTAAATCTTTCTGGTTATAGAATATTTTTTCCCCTTTGGGAGTTTATGGGTTATTCAATTTCTTTTTCTGATGTTGATTATTTAAATAGTCTGTTTTATTAATTTGAGAATTTTATATATTTGTATTAATTAATTTGCTCTAAGTGATCAGCTTTGTTAGCTTATAATGGGAAAAATAAATTCCAAAAATTTCCTTTATTTCCTCTAACATTGTTTTGAGATCTCCTTTTATATTTTTTATATAAACAATTGGGTTTTCCTTTCTTTTTTTAAAAGTCAGATGACTTAACTATATTTTGGGTTTTTTTTCCAAAAAATTGTCTGCTAGTTTAGTTTATCAATTCTTCATGCTTTCAGTTTTATAATCTCTAATTTTCATAATTTCTGCTTTATTGCTTAGTTGAGAATTTATTGATTTGTTGTTGTTCAAGTCTTTTTAATTGTATGTTCAGTTCACTGATTTATTTCTCTTTTATTGATGACTGTGTTTAGAGATATATTTCCCCTAAGATCTGCTTTAGCTACATCCCATATGTTTTAGTGATGCCGTTAAAGTGCTGTACTCAATATGCCAGTGAATTTGGAAAACTCAACAGTGGCCACAGGATTGGGAAAGATCAGTTTACATTCCAGTCCTAAAGATGTGCAATGCCAAGAAATGTTCAAATTACCGAACCATTGCACTTATTTCACATGCCAGTAAAATTATAAGATTCTGCAAACTAAGCTTCAGCAATATGTGAACTGAGAGTTACTCGAAGAGG